GCATAGATCCTTGTTGACAGTTTTCTCCCAGTTGTCTGATATCGTGTTTTGGGCAGTTCATGCAGTTTATTTTATATATAACACTGCTCATATCCTTCTCCATGGTTCTCTCATTTAATTTTGACAGAAGTCTGCAGATTGCTGTTTGGCCGATTTGAAGTTTGTATGTCGATTGTGAAAAGTTCAGTAGCCTCGGTGGGATTCGAACCCACGCATGGATGCTGCTCACGTTTTGTATGCGCATGCTCTACAAGCTGAGCTACGAGGCCACACCGATAGCACTGATCTTTTCACATTCGAATTTACCCATCCAAATTACAGAGGCATGTGGCATCCACCAGTCAGCATGTAAACTGACTGCCCCGACAGGTTCTCCCTAGAATTCACCGAAGTCTTCAAGTTTATCTCTAACGATGTGACCGCATTTAGAGATTTGTGGTTTTTTAGATCCCTCCAGTAAGCAAATGCTTTTATCAGTTCACCGGGGAAGTACTATGTGCTGTTGGCACTGAAGAATGAATGTTTGCATTCTTGGACGAGGTTCATCGTTTTGTTTTTTGTCCACACTTCTGCCAACATCCAACTTTTGTTTCAAATCAAACGCGATGGACGGATATTACTCATGAATTCAATAAGTAGCAAGTGATTTTTCACCGTGAAAATTTTGATCGAATTTTTGTTTGTTTGTTTGTTTGTTTTTCCGACAGACCGGAGAACAGTTCAACTGAAACCGAACTGGAGGGAATAGCCGAAACGGACGAAGATGAGGAGGTGTTCAATTCAGGTAATTCATGTGCAAACTAAACTTTTTTCTCGTGGAATTAGAAACTTTACTTCTGTAATATTTGAAGAAGAAAACATCAAGTTTTGTCCTCACCATTTTTTTTCTTCAAATCTTGCTTACAGACCATGCACAAGAAAATCGTGTCATCAACTTAGCCATTGATCCGACTTTGGTGGATCGGCAGAAGTGCAGTATGCGGCAACATGTGCAACCGATATCCGAGTTAGTCTGCAATTATGTGTTTCGATTGTCAATTCTATCCTCCTGGGTTGCTTCCTCATTTTGAACACAAACAATGATCACTGATTTATTCTCAACGTTTTTTGTTGGTGTTAATTTTCAGTAAATGTGAAATGCCCCCTGGCTAATTGAAAACAAAGTCCGCTACGCGAGGCATTGTGTTTTCTTGATATATTCATCATTTTGTCATTATAATTATATAAGGTTATTTGAGTTCATCGATGTGGTTTTGATCGGATCGCATTAACCTAATCCTCATGTCGACTTGATATGGGATGCACCCCCCGGGGTGCGGGTCTTATAAAGATTCCTTCACCCGAGGCCCTGGCAAACCTAAAACCCGAGCGAACTGGATCTACCTCCATAGTGGGGGCGGGGGCGTCCAGTTTGTGGTGAATGATTGCCTTTGAATATACGACAAGCTTTGATTTGCTAAAACGACAAGGCTCGTCGCGGACACAGTTATATGACCCCTGTAAGGTACACAAACCAGATTACCAGAAACCGACTCTGGATGGTTATTGATTTGAACGGACTGTTCTTCAAACTTCATCTTCNAATCCCTTTTCAGTACTCTCTGTTCTAGTGGTAATTCAAACCAAAAGAAAACACAGATACCTTTCAAGGACCCGGGACATTTGGGCAACAGCCTCGAACC